GGTACACACTAGATTCCAAAGCTTTGCTATCCGTAAAGAACGTAAGAGACAACATTAATAATTTTACACTGAGCATACGTTGAAATATTTCTTTGGATATGTTGGGTTAAAAAAAATGCACCGTTGAAATAAATGGCCTGTGTTCTTTTATAAAAATATTATTTAATGTTGCTACAAGAGTATTTTCAATTATATCCGTGGCTTGCACCATATTTCCTCTGGACAGTCTGCCATAGATCCCTGCACTAGTCTTTGAATGGGGAGTGAGTGCGTGGGCACAGCACATGTGTGCATGTGGGGGGGTCTAGGTGTAAGGGGGAGGTATATGCGTGCGTGTAGGAAGCCAGAGTTGGACACTGGGTATCTTACTCTAACATTCTTTAAGACAAAACTTCTCATTGAACCTGGAGGTTGCTTATTTGGCCAGGCCAACTGGCCAGCATGCTCCAGCCATCCCCAGCCTCCCCAGCCCTGGGATTCCATGTGTGTGGCACCTTTGCCTGGCTTTTGTACGTTGATTCTGGGGAATCAATCTCAGGAGCCATGCAGTTCGGCAAACACTTTGCTGAGTGAGTCATGTCCTGAGGTCCCACATGAGGGTGCTTCCAGTGAAACGAAACAAAATTTAAAGTTCAATTCTTCTGTCACATTAGCCACTGTTCTGTCACTCCGTAGCCACGTGGAGTTAATGGGTGCCGTATTGCAAGTCACAGAGGGAAAAAACATTGCCCTTGTCACAGAAAGTTCTATCAGGCAGTACCAACACAGATTGTACATGGAGATGGCAAGAGGCACGTAGGTGAATTATGAAGGATGTGGCAGGTTTCCATGGCGCCTAACCCTGCAGCACATAATCTGCTGTCTCCTGAGTACCTGTCCCTGCTTAGCTTTGTTAGACCTGTTTGTGAACAACTTATCTCTTCATCCCTCTCCCTGCAAGGACTTTGGTGTGTTTATCTCTGCTGCAGCATATCTTCCTGCCCACCCTGCCCGCCCCCCTGCCACATGTATGTGTAGCTAGCATGTGTTTTGTATGAGATGGGTATTTAGGAAGCCTCTGTTAGACCGCTGCAGTGGCAGTGGCAATCAAGAGAGTGGAACAGTGTGACGGAGCAACAGGGAGACCTGGAAGGCTAGAAGCACGCGATAGGAGAGGGGGGCATATGCCAGAATCCATGGAGACAGGAAGAAGAGCTGCAGAAAGAGAAGAGAGGAAACCAGAGAGACAGGTAACTGTTGATCCAAAATCTTTTTGGTGTGCCCCAAACCCTTGAACCCACCCAACAAGCTCCCTGCAAACAGTAATGAGAGAAGAGTCATTCACAGGCTCGGGCAGCAGTTACATAGGAAGTGCAAAATAAACCGCGATTATTACATGATACATAAACATGCAAGACCGATGAATGGGAAGAATGAAAATTAAGGGTCTGATGAGGAGGGAGAATGACAAATGGCCTCTCCCTGGGCCAGCTGGTTTGAGTTACATTTTATGGGCAGCGTGTGAATTCCGGCGCCCTTGTTGAATTTGCGGCAGACTCACACATTAGTTTTAAGGCTCCCTCTCGAATAGGAACATCATAACGCTTTTTAATTGGTGCTGATAAAAAACGTAGCCTTACTTGTAGGTGCCTGAGAGAAGTGAGTTGTGAAATTGGGTTTTCATTAAACCTAATGACGGAAAATTAAGCATAGTGCGTCTGGCGAAATGGGGTGTGATAAAAGACATCACTTCTGCGTTATCGAAGGTTAATAAGGGAATAGGTGAGGTAAGATACATCGGAAAAGGGAGTCCAACCAGTTGAATTAATAAACCTTGAAAATCCCTTGGTTCCAAGTCCTCGTGGCATCATTAGTGCTGGCATCGGCATTATCACAAATGTTGCAGCAATACGAGTTGCTAAATTCCAAATGCATTTATTTTCCATTCCACTGTTGGTTTTGCTGACACTAAGTTTACAGTCTGTCTAGCAATGTGTTTGGGGGGAAATATCCATATTGATAGCCTTTTCAGTTTGGAAATGTTTGGCGTCTCACAAAGATTTGCCAGGTGCCAACTCCAAGGAAGCCTGCCTCTGCCAGGCAGCTGGTTCCCCATGCAGCCTGCACCCGGAGTCCTTTAAAAAGCTGGGGGCAGGGTATATCTCGGTGGCATCCGCATAATGGTGTTTAACTGGGAAATAAGGGCTCTGGCGTTTGATTTGATGTCACCTCCATCGCCAGTCCCATGACACCACCGCAGGAGCGCTACTGGCTACTGGAAGGATGCTTCCAATGCAAAGGGTGTTTCCAATGCATGCCAGCTGGGACACCTACGGCCAGGACTGTGAGTCTTTAAAATGTGGGATTCTTTTGCAGAACCCTCAACGGTATCACACTCCTTTTTTTTATTTTTTTTTATTTTTTATTGAAAAAAAGGAAAAAAAAGTTTCTGCCTCCTCCCAGCCTCCCATTTCCCTCCCCCTCCTCCCACCCTTCTCTCCCTCCCCCCACTCCTCTCCTGCTCCCTCTCCAGTCCAAAGAGCAGTCAGGGTTCCCTGCCCTGTGGAAAGTCCAAGGTCCTCCCCCCTCCGTCCATGTCTAGGAAGGTGAACATTCAAACTGGCTAGGCTCCCACAAAGCCAGAACATGAAGTAGGATCAAAACCCCGTGCCATTGTCCTTGGCTTCTCATCAACGGTCCAGAAAATATATTTAATAAAATTATAGAAGAAAACTATCCCACTCCTTTTAAGAGTCCTCACCTTCTCAGCTCTTCTGGATCTGCCTCCCATTGTCTACCACAGCACGGTCCCACCGTTCTTCTTTATGCCCGCCTCTCTGCTCTTAAATGTGTCTCCATCTCTCAGGCTCTGATCTTTTTGCTTCAGGCAGCTCTAAGTATTTTCTCTTCTCGACCATCAAGCTTTGAGTGTAGACTCTTTTTTTTTTCCTACTTTGCCACTGTCTAAAAAAAAATCCTTGGATGAAATGGGGTCTCATAAGTCTAATGCATAATCACAAGAATGTGACGTTAGCAGGGACTCAACCCCACTACATGCCAGAAGTTACATTCAATCACATTCAATCAGTGCTATTAAAGATGTATCAACTATTGCCAAATCGTGGGAGAAAAAGTGGGAAATAGTCTCAGCGCAGCCAGGAAAGGTTTTTAGCATCTCACTGTAACTCTTCTTTCCTGTGTGTGAACTTGTATCCTTGATATCTGTCTGTTAGATAATTTAGCTAATTCTCAAAGGCCGACTCTGTCTTGTCTACTCATTGCACTGAAGCAGAAAATGCTGAGACCATAGGCGACACACAGATACTTCAGCTCCTGGTGAGGTGTGGCCCAGTCAGTGTCTCAAGCTCAGGCTAATCAAAGCCATCACTTGTCCCCCCTGGAGATGGTAACAGGTGGGGTCAGACGGAAGGGACCCCGACTCAATACAGATGAGCACATGAAGGAAACCAAGGCTCTCATCCCAGAACTGAGGGTGTTCCCTAGACATTATACTTTCAGTACTAAAGCCGAAGAGGGGTTAGGTTAAGTGTGGCCAGTTGGTCACTCTGCAGGCCACACGTCTCCCCAGTATCCTGTCTTGTGAGGAACTGACTTTGATGTTGGACTGTATTGTGCTCTCCCGGAGAGCCTGTCTGACGGATTATTGTGACAGGAAAGACAGGCTGAGGGGGACATGGCTTTCAAAAAGACAAGCTGCAGAAAGCTCTGGAATATATACTAAGTCTCTCAGGAAATGAGCATGGCACAGGCTTCATGGATGTCTGCGTGGGGGCCTTGGTGTCCGAGAACATCTGGATGTACCCATCAACTGCCACATCTGGCAGGTCCTATCTCTTGTATGGTACAAACAAAATGGCCGCAGGGCAGAGACTGTCAGCGTATTTCAGAGGATGTGAACTTGCCAAGCCTAGATGATTCTGGGAAGGAGAAACTTTTTCCAGAATGACCAGACAACAGAAAGTATTTAAAGGAGCTCCATAGGGATTTCTGTGAGGGGAAGGCATAGACTTATATACATATATATGGGGGGGGGTCTCATGTGGTCTAGTCTGACCTCAAATTTACTATTTAGTCGAGGGTAACTGAACTTCTGATCTTCCTGTTTCCCCACTTGGATATCTAGGATAACAAGCTTATGCAAACCAAGTATTATGTGATGCTGAGGACCAAATTTGAGGCTCCGCAGCATGCTAGGTGATCACCACCACCTGAGGTATATATATACCCACTACCATATCAATGGGTGTGGCATAGGAGGCACATGAGAGTCGTGTCTGGTGAGAGCAAAGGAAGACATTTAGAGAAATCTGCAGGGTGGGATCAGGGACATTTCAGGTTCAGTGGTAGTAAGGGGAGAATAGGTGGCAGGGTATGAAGGTGGCTTCTGTTACAGAGCCCATTGCTGCAGGGCGTGGCTGGAAGGTAGAGTCCCTGCTGCCTATTGGGAGTCCAAGACTAGCTATACTTCATCCGGGTGTACAGCTCAAAGGAAACAAACTAGGAGAGAAATCAGACCGCAGACATGCCAGCCTGGAAGCAGTCGCATGGATCTTCTAGCCAAGCACCTGAGACTCTCCTCACCTGCAGACAAGCAACTGAATCTACCTACAGTTTACATTACATTAGGCCTGCAGCTCCCTAAAGCCTGACTTCTTACTAGTTCTGGGATTGGCTGCACACAACAAGCCTAGAGAAGAGGCCCAGGACAGGCAAGGGATAGTCACTAAACTGTCCCTTTGTCTTTGCACAATCAATAATAATCCCTTGAAACTGAAATGAACCAAGGAAATCCACGTATACAGTTTGTTATTTCACTATTTAGATCTGTGCACACAGCCAAGCCAGGGTACGCAGTGTCTTTGGTCTTTCTATAATTTCCTAACCAGCGGAGTGTTCGGTTCATTCCCTCTGCCCTCCTCAGGTCACGCTGCGGGTGGGGATGGGGTGCAAAGAACAAAACTCCCAAAGTTCGAGTTTGTCCTGCTTCTTTCTCTTTGAAGCAGACGGCAGCCGTGGGGAGCTGTCCCAGCCTACCCTCACCATTCAGACTCACCCCTACCGGACCTGCGACCCTGTGGAGATGAGCTACCCCCGCGACCAGTTCCAGCCTGCCATCCGAGTGGCCGACCTTCTCCAACACATCACTCAGATGAAGAGAGGCCAGAGCTACGGCTTCAAGGAAGAGTACGAGGTAAGAGACTAGCCTGTGAGTATCTGGAGCGCTAAAGTCTTGCCTCTGACCTCTGACCATAAGCAATACCAATGCCCGGGAGCATGGTGGGAATGCTCCAGCTGGCACACTCAATCACATCTTATCTTTAAACTAGAACCTAGACGTTGAACTTAAGAAATAGCATGTCCCGAATCCCCCCATTTTAGAGACGACCGTTCTTCACTCTGACGGTAGAATGGCTCAAGCCCTCTTGCCATGTGCTATAGAATGGCCAGCCCGTCTCCACTGCCAATAGTGCCTGGTGTGCCTGCTTTTTCCTGCTCACCACTTGGCCCTGTGTTCCTGCTTCTATGCTGTTCTCACCGTGCTCCACCCAGGCCATGCAGCACACTGACTGCTGTGCTCGCTCTCTCTTCTTCCTCCTTTCTCCTGCATTGGTCATCCCTGTACCCCTACAAGCCCCTCACTCCCAACGCATCTCTAGTATGAAAGATAGGAATGCATGCTGTAGTTATTTCAAAAGCTCAGGGGGTGACAAACAACCCTAGCAAAGTATGGCAAGTGCCTGAAACCGACACTATTATCGTGTAGATTCCTAACTATGAAGCATGCCAGCCAGACCCTTAAGGTTCTAGTTTCTCACATGTCTCTTCGTCTTCACCTCTGTCCTGGGTCTTCTTTAATGTCTTCAAGTGACACCCTCAGCACCCGAGGAATGACTCCCATGTTTCCTTTGCTCTATTATACAAAACGATTTCTTCTCTTCCTGCTGCCTTTGTCTAACTCTTTTTGTTTTGAATCTTACCTACTGGATCTCACCTTTTACATTGGAAAAGCATAAAGGAAAAAAATCCATTAAAATACTATCCTAGACCAAAGAGCACCTCACCCTTCTCCCCCCCCCCAAAAAAAGAAATTCTCTTAGTGACAGTGGAGCCCAGTTACAGTCATCTTCCTGTTTTGTTTCCCTTCCTCTCCCCCTTTCTTCCTTGGCCAGCATCTCTTCAGCATCTTCTGTATGGCAGGTGCTAAATGATACCCAGTGGGCATCACTCCCTCCTTCCCGCTTCCCCTCTCTCCCTCTTTGTTTTCTTCTTTCTGTCACATGCAGCAATGACCCAAATGTGTTCTGTATAGTTCCACCATGTGCAGTGACGGCTCCTTGTCTCACCCCAGCTCAGACTGTTTACCCTCAGACTATACAATAGAACATGCTTACACATAGTATTTCTGAAGTCATGGGAGGGCAGGAAATCATGCTAAACTTGGGATAGCCGGGGTCCAGTGCAGTAAACTGTGTGATCTTGGCACATAATTTTGCTCTCTCAGTTTTTAAATTCTTCATTAGTTGAAGAGTGTGCCTTATGGACCAATGTGTCCTAAAACTTTGTGGGAATATGAAACAGTGGAGAGGGTGTGTTTGACATACTTTGAGAACAAAAGCATTCATGCCAGTGGATGAAATTACCAGCTCAGGAGAAGCAGCAGTTTATTTCAAATACAGTCTAAGTCAAATACCGTTTCTCAATGTGTTCTCAGTCTATTACAAGAGTCTCTGAGGTTTTTTTTTAAATCTTCCTTTAAAAAATGTGTTAAGACACAGATTGATAGAGGAAAATGGATTTGCTTACACTTCGCCAAACCATGGAGAGAAAGACCACAGGTTGGTTGGGACCTTTTCTCCAGAATTGTTGCCCTTTTATAGAAAAGATGAAACAGAAGCCAGGAGATATGTATGTGTCTATCACACGTTTGTCAGGGTTGTGATGCATCTTTCCGAGAGGCAAGCTTCTCCTCTGGTTGGCACCAAAGCTGATCCAGCCTTTCCCTTTCCCCAGCCTGGGATTCATTGGGGCCCATCATTTCAGGAGTCCCATAGCAAACAGGAGAGTACAAATCTTTTTTTCAAATATTTCCTCTCCTGCCAGGCTAGTTACAAGACTACCAGTTTTGGAAGACTATTGGAACAAGAGTTACAGGTAATGCTCTCGTCATCTCTGGGTCTCATTTCCTAAAAGGATGAATGGTCCCAAACCTTGAGTCTGCACTGATGCACATGGATACAGATCAGTTTGTTGAGCAAACACCTCAGCACAGGGTACGTTGTTTGTAAAGCCATACCCAATATTATTGGAATTCAATGAACCCCCAGTTATTATAAGTTGTCTTCAAGTTTCACATAGCATCCAGAGAGGTGTGTAGTTCATCAGAAAGGTGTACAAATGGTCAAATGTACTTAACCTGTTCTATGAACTTTTAATACAAAATTCAAGAAATACAGATGCATTGACTGTTTTGGTACATTCCTTCCTAACATATTATCTTCTAAACCATCCATTCCTATATGATCAGTTGTTTGTCCTTTGGTTTTGTTTAATTCCTCTTTATACCTGTTAGCCTCTCTCAGACTTTCTAGCATGGAAACAAACTTAATTTACAGCCAAGAATACATATTATTCCATCATTTGAGCCTCACCCAGAAATCTCACTAGTAAGGCCACCCTTACCCTCGTTACTTCTAATTGTATTAATCAGTGAGTTAGTGTGCCTTGCTTCTGGTTTAAAACATTGTATGATTAACCTGGAGTTAATTGGAAAGCATTGCCAGTTGAAATATGCTACTTTGTAGGATGTGGCAGTCCAGTTCCTTAGAAATACTGCTGTGTTTTTCTTTTATCATAAAGGCTCCTAGAATTTTCATCTTGAACATGCATTACAGATCTGCTTGAAGACTGAGTGTAGACATAAAACCCTGAGCGTCCAGTTCTGCTGTCACACAGGCTGCTGTGATGTCCTTGCCTGTCACCTCCCTATTCTGCTCTGCTTTCATTTTTTTTTCATGCCAGTGTGTGTGTGGATTTGACGAGCTGACATCTAAGGGACCCTCAGCTTTAGCAAACTGCACCTTCTAAAATCCAACTTAGCTATACAGTCATTCCCAGGATTGTTCAGTAAATATTTCCTGAGTATTCGTTCTTACCAAGGGCTAGTCTAGACATTTAGGATACGACTGTGAGAGAAGCAAACCCATGCCCTCATGGAGCTTCTATTCTAGCAGGGGAGATAGAAAATAGGCATAGGCTGAAAAACAAACTGCCTCAATTAAGAGCAACAGAAAACTATTGATTTATCGCAATAATTGGTTTTATGGGTTAGGAATTTGAACAGTGAACAAGAGGTACAGTTGGTCTCTTCTTTGTAGTACAGGTTCCATAGTTAGGGGCTGCTGTCATCTGCGGTGTCTTTAGTCTGATGTCTAATAATGGATGCAGATGTCATCTGAGGTCTCAGTGGAGATTTTCACTGGGATTCCTCCAAACAGCCTCCGGGTAGCCTGATATTCCTGGCAAGATGGAGGAATAACTTCCAAAGCAGCTGGGCTTGTGTTTGTTTGTTTGGTTTTATTTGGTTGGCTGGTTTTGATTTTGTTTTTGTTATTTGTTTGTTGTTTGAGATGGGTTTCTCTGTGTAGCCTTGACTGTCCTGGAACTCACTCTGTAGACTAGGCTGTCCTTGAACTCATAGATCTGCCTGACTCTGACTCCTGAGTACTTGATTTAAAGGTGTGTACCACCACCTCTCAGTATGAACTTCTGTATATGATATCTCAGAGCTCCAAAGGTGAGCCTCCTACCTAACAAGGTAAAAACTGTATAAAGTTGGTGACCTAGACTTTGATGTCACATTGTGTTGGATATGAACAAAGAAAAGGCCTCTCTTCTTCTAGTGCAGAGGGGACACAGACTCCACTCTTCATAGGAGGACCATGTTCCAAATTCTAGAAGAGGACATAAGCTACTAATCTTCGAGTAATATGGTCTGTTAGAAAAAGAGAGAGTAGAGCAAGGAAGGGGGAGGTATAATCCAGGGTTATGGCATACAAGCAGGCCCAATATTAATTAAGGTAAGAGGATTGTCCTTACAATTTGGAGGAAGGGATTTCCACAGCAAAGCGTGTACAAGGAAAAAAGAAAGCTGGTCAAGATATAGTGCATATGTGCTAGGTCATCAGATTGGAAAAGTAAGGAAGGACCTGCTGCTTTGGTCCATTACAAACTGGTATAAGGAGCTTTGTTTTTACTCTGAATAAACTGTAAGTTTACTGCAGAGCTTGGAGGACTACAGGTGCAAATGGTCTGATTTTATGTTCAAAGACTCATTCTAGCTACTGTGTTGAGAATGGGACCTAAGAAGGCAAGGTAAGGCCAAGGATATGGTAACCTGGATGGGACAATAATAACTCTGGCTAAAACCAGCACAGGAGACTATAAGGAAATGTCTGGGTTCTCAATATGTCATAAAGATAGAGCCAAGAATACTTTTTAATACATGGAGTTAAAGGAAAGGAACCCAGGATGACCCTGAAGCTAGCTCTTACCTGAACCTCTGGAAAAATGGAGGTGCCACCAACAGCGATGAGAAATTACAGAAAAGTTGGATCTGGAGCAGCTGGAAGTCTAACTGAACTAAGCTTGCAATGTCCTTCAGAAGGTTGGCTGTATGAATTTAACCTCGAGAAAGAAGCCTGGGCTACAGAGAAAACACTGCTAAGAGGAAACTCACAAGACACAGACCAGATGAGGTAATCGAGCATGTCAGCAGAGACTAGGACCCCGGACTTTTGAAAGTCTCACTTTAAAGGTATGGAGTACTTTCTATGTAGGCATTAGGACTGAAGAGACACAGTGAGCATAACCCCACCTGGAGAACCTGAGTTTATGATTAAAACCAGGCATATAGACTTATAATTTTAATTGTAGGACAAAATGCGACAACAAAGGAATGCCCAGAATTATAGTGACCCATAGGGATAGGGCATATTAGCCTGAGGGTAAATATGTTAGTGGTTTTCAGGAAGGCACTAGTCTAAACCAAACATACAAAAAATAAGAATAGCGAGTATAAACAGAGAAGGAAGTTCTGGACAGAGAACTACAAAGTGTGTCATGGGAGAATAGAAAGTAGATTGAGTTAGAGGAAACACAAGTCACTTGGTTTATAAAATATGAGAAGGTACA